CTTTCTGCTGACCATTGGCTACCAGATCATACCAAACGATGACAGTCCAATGAGAATGGTGCCTGTCTATATCGTGGTGCGACATGTCAAGGCTGCTGTAGAAAGATTTAAAATCCTGGGAGCCAGCACTATCGCTCCAAATCCCATGTGCTCTGATCCCAACTCTTTTGATAAAAACATTCAACTTTTTAAAGAGATTGATTTAAAATAGTTATGTGGGAATGCTGTGAATTCGAATGAGTGTTAAAGAGATTGATTGAAAACAGTTCTGTAGGAATGCTGTGAATTTGAATGAGTTTTAAAGAGATTGGTTGAAAACAGTTCTGTGGAAATGTTGTGAATTCGAATGAATGTTAAAGAAATTGATTGAAAATAGTTTTGTGTGAATGCTGTGAATTCACATGAACGTCCGAGTCTGAAATTTTCGAGAGACTGAATTTATAAATGTTAAGCCCAAAAGCCCAATGCTGTGGATTTCGTGAATTCTAAAAATAACTTCCATATGTCGAAGTGGGGCTGTCATAGAGACTTTCTTCCCAGAGAAGTGATAGCGTGTCATATCAACACTCTCCCAAAGTAACTATACAAGACTTATGATAGTCATATCTAATCAGCAAGTTTCATAAAGGGGGTGGGGGTGGATGTCATGGTTTGAAATGATATATTACTAGTTATGAGGTTATTGACTGTATGCGGATAACATGTATGCATTTATCTGCGCCCCCCCCTTCCCCCCCCCCAACCCACCCACCCACACACACACACCCACCCCCCCCCACACACACACACACACACACACACAATAGGCTGCTACACGAAGATTAAACCATCTATTTGACTTCAAGAGTCACATACTAGATAACACAACAGACACGACATATCCCAGATACACGGTTCACTTTCAAAAGCTATAATTAGGACACATGTAATGGCTGCATCAAGTACTATCCTGAACTGCTTTAAAATAAAATAATGCAAAATATGAATAATGGATTAGTAAATGTCATTCCTCTTTTTATTCATGTGCCAACGGAGCATAGGTCCTGAACCAAGACACACCAAGTCGACCTACCCTTTTCTATCGCTTGCAGCTCACCTCATTCTTCCCCATCTTTTTTTCACTCTGTTTTCTTCCTAGTGTGTTTCTGGTATGCCTTTTTCTGTGCTACTATGAGTTCCAATGTAAATCCTTATAATTATAACACTCTCTTGTTTCCTCAACTTGTGTCCTGTCCATCGGCAGTGTACATTTGATTACAATAGGTTTATCCATAGCCAACCTACACAAACAGTGTTATCGTTACCTGTTGACGTTTACACATGCGAATTAATAACACCTCACCATTGCATAGGAGTTTGTTTTTTCTTAACATGATTTTAGATTTCAGTTCGACCGAGATTTTGACGGATACCTGGCAATGTCCAGAAAAGAAAGGGGTTTGGGCGGGATGATGCTTATCGCGTCACCAATCGACTGGCGATAGGTCTGCCTTTTTCTTCTTTTTTTTTTCTTTTCTTCTTCTTCTTTTTCTTCTTCTTCTTATTATTATTATAATAATAATAATAATTATTATTATTATTATTATTATTATTATTATTATTTTAAATTCTTTTTCGCATTCGGTTTCCTATGCTCAGGTCAGACCATCAGGTGGGTTGCCTCTATGAACTCGCAAGTCAGCTGCAGGTCCTGCATGGTTCCCCATAGCTTGCTCTGCACACTTTGCTCTTGAGGCCAGATGTCTTTTCGAAGTTGTAGGTAGAGTGAGCAGGTCTGCAGAATGTGCTCAGGTGTTTGTGGTCCTGTTTGACAGGCACACTGTGGGGACTGTACTATCTGTATTTTATATATGTGGTAGTTGAGCCTGCAGTGACCTGTGCGTAGGTCGGTCTATAAAAATTATGAGTTTATATTCATTTACTTGAGGCGCTACTGGCAAGAAAGGGTTGCCTTACTTTGCCTAATAAGTTATATCAGCTTTTTTTTTATTTTTTTATTTTTGATTGCCTCACTGATACCAGGTTGTAGCACAGGGTCGTGGTTTTCTGTATTTTATCATCATCAATTCTCTTTATGCCTAGTGGCACATGAGGCTTCAGAGGACTTTCCGTGCTTTCATGTCCTGTGCAATCTTCAGTGCAGTTTTCCATGTCAGAGATGCCGCACTCAGGTCACTTTCCATCGTTCGTCTCCATGTTGTTTTTGGGTGCCCCTTCTTTCTCTTTCCCCCCTCTGGTGTCCATGTGAGAGCTGTTTTGGCAGGTATATCAGGATTAATTCTTATAACCTGGCCAAGCCATTTCCATCTTCTCTGGGTTATCATACTGTCTAGAGTTTCTTGGTTTGTAACTTGGAGTAGTTTAGTGTTTGAGATTGTATCTGGTCAGAAAATTTTGATAATTCTACGTAGACACGTATGGTACAAGGTGGATAGCTTATGTGCATCGTTTTTGGTCATTCTCCAGCATTCTGCTCCATTAAGAACTGGTAAAATAATGCTGTTTGTGTATATCTGTATTTGTCTTGCGTTGTCTTGGGTTGCTTGGGTGATGGATTAGTTCATCGTTTTGCAGGTTTCTGCTACACCATTTATGCATATTTTTCTTCGTCTTCCTCTCGCCTGACTCTTAGATGTTCTGCTAAATAAAGTCTCATATGAAGTTTTGTCTGGCTGCATTCTGACTGGATGGCCGAACCATTTAATTCTTTGTCTATCTATATAATCCAGACACGGTATTATTCCAACCTTCTCCCTGATGCTGGTGTTCACTGTGCCGTCTTATCCATGTGTGGCACTGATAGCATAAAGTAAGGATGAAGCTATTGTTATTTTGCTGTTTTGCTGGAAGGAGACTTCTGGTTTTCTAAGCAGTGGGGCTAGCTGGTCGGTGGCAGCATTTGCCTTCTGTACTCTGGATTCTATCTCTCTATCGAGTCTCTAAGCAGTGGGGCTAGCTGGTATGTGACAGCATTTGCCTTCTGTATTTTGGATTCTATCTCTCTACCGAGTCTGCCATCCTCCGTAAATATGCTACCTAGATATTTGAGTTCTCGTACTTGTATGATTGTAGTACCGTTAACATGAATGTTTATATTATTATATTTCCTGCCTATTACCATAAGCTCACTTTTCGCGGTGTTTATTCTCATATCTTACTTTTTTTCCCCGACATTGTTAAGGCCATTGGTCTTCTGATATAAGGTTTCCTGTCAGAAGGATCAAAGAAAACGAAAAAAAAAAAAAAAAAAAGCCTTTATATGGATGAATGGGCGGACAAATGGACTTGCGTATGGACAGATGGAGTTACAGACCGGCAGAAAATGGCATGGCATTGTCTGCCTCAGGCGTGTCAAACTAAGGGTCCACCGAGGGCTGTATATGGTCATGAGGGCGGCACATGACAACTAGTTGAGATCGTTAAAAAGAAAATATTGCAGGAAAAGGTCGGCATGTGACACGCGGTCTGCATGGTTGACCTGCTTGGTCTTGTTGATGTATTGAAGCTGTGCTCACGACTGAACTGTTTTCCTGTATACAGGAAGCGCTTTGTATTTAAATAAAACGATCTTTCCTTCTGGTATTGTTAAATACTCTCTACTTATGACACAAAGTGCAGCATTTTATTTTGTATTTAATGATGCTTATTTGCTTATTTAATTATGCTTGATCAATTTCTTGATATAATACATGCACCATGCTGTGAGATATTTATCTGCTTGTCGTCTCTTGTGTTATTATTGCTATGATATTTTATAATCTGGTCGTTCATAATTTTTTCATTTCCACTACAAAATGCTAGTTCATTCATATAAGAAGAAGAAAAATTAAAGGACCGCCTTCACCTCTCTGACGCATCGGCATATGATCATCATAATCATGCGCCCTGCTAACTGGCGAAGGCGTTCATGCGTCTCCACAGATCACGATCCCTGGTTGCCTGGAACAGCTATCTTGATGATATCCCTCCCTCCATGCCATCGTTTTAGCCCATCCAGCATCATCTCTCTTGGTCTGTTTCTACCTGTTTTTGCACTGATCTTTCCAGTTGTCCCAATGTTCTCCAGTGTCTCTCTTCTCATATTATACTTGACCCATATAGCACTTCAAGGGACATTAGTTCGGTTTTGGACTTTTTTTTTTTTCTCACAAGTACACATTTTCGGGCAATTGTTGTTGTTATCGCTTTGTGCGACAGCAAAATGCCGCTACTGTGCAGGGAGAGAGTGCGTCTTCTGCAATAAAACCTTTGGATCTTTGTATTAGCAGTCGAGTGCTCTAGCCGTTGCCACGACCCCGAGTCCTTTTTTTTTCTTTCAAATGTATTTTGAATAATTTTCCTCTTTCTATTTCTCTCTCTCTCTCTCTCTCTCTCTCTCTCTCTCTCTCTCTCTCTCTCTCTCTCTGGTGTGCGCGTTAGAGAGAAAGAGAGATGGAGTGAGAGAGAGAGAGATAATCCGAAAGAATGCATTGACCTCATTGCACCATATTTTATCCCATATACCTCTATCTCTCTTCACAAAGGCGAGCAGGTAATTAGAGTACAATATAAAACAGGAACTATGCAGCTCCAGCTACGATCCCTCACGTATTATCGTAAAGCTGCACTAGCGAACGAAACTACACAGTCTATAAAACGAACCCACGACAGTCAGATCCCGGGTTAAACAGTTTGACTACGTCGCCATAAAGACCTTGCATTTCATATTAAAAAGTAAAGTAAAGATCCCTTTCCACGTCTTTAGGCGTATCGGGCATAAGGGAAGAGCGCCCATATTTTTACAGACCATCAGCACTAGGTGTGTAATGTGGTCAGCATTACGCCGGCTGTCTTTACTTTCCCAGGACAGCCCATCCTGGTACCCATTTTAGACTGGATATATATATATATATATATATATATATATATATATATATATATATATATATATATATATATATATATAGATAGATACACACACACACATAACAGACACAAATGTGAAGAAGACATGTCCAAACCTGTTTCTGTCCATCTCTGAAAGTGACATGGTGCTGTATGTACTCCCGCTCCAAGGGGGAGATTCTAGTAGACAAGGCCGGACTGTCGAAAACCAGAAACCACCAGATAATGCACCAGACAAACCCAATGGCGCCTGGGAAACGACACGAGATAACAGCAGCACACATCAGTTCTCGGCACTCCTCCGAAAAACGGTTCCAAATTATCGAGGTTAAAAACAAACCCCAACAGGGCCTCAATAATATGTAAAATTAGGGTTTATTTCCGGCAAATATCGCAAGCAGGCCATCAGCTCCGACACTACGTCACCAAGGCGGGACTAGTCATGCGTCGTTTACTACATATTTAGCGGAGTTTCAGTGGCTGCACAGTCACAGAGACCACTTTTTCGCACAGTATTTACAACTTTTATGCCACGGTTATTAGATATGACTGTTACCTATTAATGCTAAATGTGTCGCTCATTCTTATATTTGTGTTCCTAGTTTGTAATATTTCTATTAGATGACCTATTGAGGCCCTGTTAGGGTATGTTTTTAACCCAGTTCTGTATAGTTATCACCATAGGCTCCTGGGTTTAGAGGCTCAGATCCTGAGATTTTAAACCTCGGTCTAGAGACTGACTAGCAAGGTAGTTTCCAGATACCCCGCTCATGCTCCGTCGAGGTTATAATTATGGCACATGTAATGGCTGCACCTGCCGAGTGCAACCTGCAGTCCTATCCGGGTTGGGACATTGACTGTTATTTATTACACTCCTGATGTTATTCCCCCATTTGTGTGGCTGTTTACCTCTTACTTGCGCCCGGCTCTCTAGCGTAGTTGGCTAAACCGGATTGCGCGGAGACCGGGTGACAAACTCCTTGTGGTCCGGGTTCAATCCCGGGGGTAGACAGGAAAGCCACATTTTCTCCCAGATTTACGGTATTTACAATGTAATCAAGGCCGAAAGGTTGAGATATCCATAATACCGAGCCTAAGGGTTAACAACTCATGGTTTCTGGATACTAAAACAACAACAAACCTCTTGCTTGCCTTCAACTTTTCCCTTATGTATAGTTTTTATTTACCCAAACTATTTCTTTCGTCTTTTGCGTTTCTTTTTAGCAACTTTCTTTTTATTAAAGGTCAAAGAAGAGAAGGGCAAAGAAAAACCTGGAAAAACATTATCAAGAAATGGGCATGACTAAGTTATCACACACTTATTCATCAAGTGGAAGACAGAGAAGATGGCGGGGTTTATGTGCTAGTGCTTAAATTGATACACCTCCACGACCTTAACGGGTCAAGGGTTATGTAATGTTATGTTATGTCATGTTTTGTTGTGTAATGTTATGTTATGTTATGTTATGTTTGTTATGTTTATTTCATTCAGTGCTGTTGGTTTTGCTGAGACTGATGTCTGTGCCAGTCTGTCAACAAGAAACAGTAAATGAATTTCTGTGTGGTTATCAATAGCATGGAGCGAAGCAAAATGGTGTGACCCATTTACTGTAAATACGGAACTGTTATTACCTTAACTTTTCATTTACCATCTACTCAAAATGTCTGTATTTGATTGTTTTGTTCTCATCAAATATGCTCTATTCTTCTGTATATTCTGAGACTCCATTTTAAATACTATTTTTTTTTTTAAATAAATATCCAGAGACTTAAACTGAAATATAATCTGTTCTTATATATATCAAGAGGTAATTTGAGATACGACCTATTTTTATGTACATCCAGAGATAATTTGAAATGTGACCTAGTCTTCTGCATATCCCGAGACAGATTGAAATACGACTTGTTCTTATGTATAACCAGAGATAATTTGAAATATTGCCTATTCTTATGAATATCGATATATAATTTGAAATATTACCTATTCTTATGTAAAACCAGAGATAATTTGAAATATTACCTATTCCTATGTAAATCCAGGGATAATTTGAAATATTACCTATTCTTATGTATATTCAGAGATAATTTGAAATATTACCTATTCTTAATTATATCCTGAGATAATTTGAAATATTACCTATTCTTAAGTATAACCAGAGATACTTTTGAAATATTTTGAAATATTACCTATTCTTATGTTTAACCGGAGATAATTTGAAATATTACAGATTTGTATGTACATCCAGAGATAATTTGAAATGCAACCCAGTCTTCTGTAAATCCAGAGACTCAGTTTGAAATACAGCCTACTATTATCGATGTGACGACACGCTCGGTGACTTCAGAATGTCTTTCCTCAACCTACTTTTTTTCTATGTATTTTAAAGTTTACCGAAAAATATGGTTTTGGCTACATCCTAAATCTAAGTAAGGCGACCAGAAAAAAACCTATTTAATTTTTCTGGACTGCTGGTGATATCAAACATTGAGCCTTTTTCCCAGATGTAAAGTGTTAAGTATAGATAAGATTTAGCATATAGACTTAGTGGCACGAGTAAAATTGAAAGTTCAGACTTAGTGGCTAGAGATTTTGCTTGTAGAACTAAGGTGTCAGATAATTATCTCCTAGCCAGACCTTTAGGAGCAGATAACTCAGGCTGATTGTGATTATCTCCCCCTGATGTTACCCAACTTAAGGGCAGGTCAGATCGCCAGTATTGACATGGTCTACTGGAGGTGTTAACAGAACCTGGCAGGTTGAAGAAGGGATGGAAGGTGTGACTTTGTTTATGAGCTCTGGCCAGCTTGATGGACCAGGAGAATGTAACCGTGGGAATGCAAACAAATGTTGTACAGTCCTGACTGACAGTGAATAGACTTACCCGCGGGGAGGAGCTGTGACATCCTTGAGTGAGAGTGGTTTTAGGAGTAATGTAGGAGGAGCTTAGAAGAAGTTATGAAAGGGTGGACTCTAGGGCTGGGAAGTGAGACTCTGCTCTCAGCACACCATCTGTTGGGGTTAAACCCTTAGCTTGAGACAGAACTTTTGGCATTGTGTTTTCATTTTCCAGGTAAGCGTAACTATTTACAACCTTTATTTCATGATAGAAACCTCTTTGCTCAAGTGTGTTTCGTCACTTTATAGTACTCCTTAGTGGACATTTCTCCATTCTCTTAGGGCACTGTCAAATTACTTTATATCGTAATAGATATTGTCATGAATGTGTTTTCGTGCACATGTGTTTCAGTGTTGTATAACTTAAATGTTGATGTTACCACTGAAATTAATGAACTAAAATTTTTCAAAAATCACAAACGTGAAGATAATTTTGGCAGTCTTTTCACGTGTGGTTAATTTGAATCTATATTACATAAGCTAACACAATAAAATGTGTTCAACTCCCGGGAGGCTAATGCGGAGATTGTTCCAGGAGAGTAAATCCATGAGATTTGTTATTTGATATCGCCCCAGAAATATTGTTATCATTCTGGGCGCGCCCATTATTCCAAGAACATTCCAGAACTTGTTCTGTCAAACTGATTGTCATTTTGATTTGGCATGAGAGATGACATCAGACATTGAAGACCTAACTATAATTACAGGACGTGAATAGAGGAAGGCAGAAAATGTAACGACTTCCATGTGAGACAAAGTCCTTCCAGACTGGACAGGAGAAAATGTGAAAATGAGGGAGAGATTAAATGTTTTATTAGAATAGACATGTTTGATTTTATAAAAATAGACATGTTTGGTGTAAGTCTAGATACTACACAGATGCGCTTGTTTCTTTACCACAGTTCCCACATTGGGTAGGGACTAGTAGCCATCCATTCTTGTGCCGACCGTCTGTGTGTAACGACCTGCTTGAAGCAGCGAGGACGACAAACCGGAAAAGGGTAGGCAGGGTCTCAAATTGAGAACTGCTGGAGGTTGGTTTTGTATAATCTTCAAATGAATTAGTTTCATCAGTAACACCGTCTTCACTCTACTAGCCTTAACAGGTTCATTTTATTTTTGGTTAGATCTGTTCAATAAATTTTGTTCATGTGGTTATAAAATAGTTGAGTAAATTGTGTCTTTGTGCATAATAGTTTACTACAGCTCACAAATATGTAAATCACTTGATGGGGGCTTTTGTTACAAATTAAAACCAGGAAAGGAGAAAGTCGGAGGGGTTAACTGTGTATCTTGATATTATCTCATTGGGTTCATCTTGATATCTATATATTCCTTCTCCTTCTCCTGTGGATGCAAGTACAGCTACTTTCATTTAATGGAACGAGCCACTCGCTGTTTTCTTGGTTATCCAGGACTGTCTAGGATCAACATAGCTTAGATATTAGTTCAGTTTCTCACGTGGGTGGGCACTGTTAGGGTTCAAACCCACACACTCACTATATACGTGTATATACCCACGGGGTTGGCGACAATCGATATCCAGAGACTCAATTTAAGATAAGACCTGTTCTTCTCCATATCCAGAGATTATTTTAAACACGACCAATTCTTATTTATATCCAGAGACTCAGTTTGAAATACGACACATTCTTCTATGTACCTGGACACACAATTAGACTTTCAAAATACTTTTAAACTTTTTTTTTTTAAAGATTTATTCAACACCACACTTACCCATGACGTAGAACACAGAATCCCAGCCCACGGAACTGCACAAAAGCCCTCCGATAGGGAAGATCAAAGCATTTCCGAACTGACCTCCTGAAAATCAAGCCCACGATTACTTCGATCAATAAATCAATCAATCAATCATATCATGTTATGTTATTTTATCAAAATCGATGTCAATGCAATATGCGGACAATCTCAAGCGTGGTTGGTACCTCTGCTGATTGTTCCCATTAGAGGTTGATTGAAGTGTCTCCTATTTTGACCTGGAAGTGCTTTAATCCCAGGTCACGCAAACGTGTAATCGTCAGAGACTGGTTATTGTCCCAGGCGCGTCGTGACAGAGAAAACAATGGAGGCGAGGGTCAGCCCCCACCCACTGTTTTTCAAGTGCAGGAAAGTGGACTCAAGCCTTGTTTTATTGTGCAGTAATAATAATTATTATTATGACTAATATTATTGCGACTTACTACTACTACTACTACTACTACTACTACTACTACTACTACTACTACTACTACTACTACTACTACTACTACTACTACTACTACTACTACTACTACTACTACTACTACTACTGCTACTGCTGCTGCTGCTGCTGCTACTACTACTACTACTACTACTACTACTACTGCTGCTGCTGCAGCTGCTGCTGCTGCTGCTGCTGCTGGTGCTTCTGCTATTTCATTTTCTTCCTCTTCTTCTGAGTTTGCACTTGAAAGGACAGTTAGCATGTTGTGTGGTAGTGTACAGCTAGTGTGTCATATCTGTAACTTTATCTGCAACAAACACATTTGATTCCACTAAACCACTAATTAGTGGCTTTTTACGACATGCTTGTTAGAGATTAGTAGGCCTATTGTTTTTCCTCCAACAAATGGTCCCTTCAGCACAAATGGTCCCTTTTACACAAATGGTCCCTTAAACACAAATAGCCCCTTTTACACAAATGGCCCCTTTAACACATATTGTCCCTTTAACATAAATTGTCCCTTTAACACAAATGGTCCCTTTAACATAAATTGTCCCTTTAGCACAAATGGCTCCAACACAAATGGCCTCTTTAACACAAATGGTCTCTTAAACATAAATTGTCCCTTTAACACAAATGGTCCCTTTAACATAAATTGTCCCTTTAACACAAATGGTCCCTTTAACATAAATTGCCCCTTCAACACAAATGGCCCCTTCAACACAAATGGCCCCTTCAACACAAATGGCCCCTTCAACACAAATGGCTCCAACACAAATGGCTCCTTCAACACAAATGGCCCCTTCAACACAAATGGCTCCAACACAAATGGCTCCTTCAACACAAATGGCCCCTTCAACATAAATTGCCCCTTCAACACAAATGGCCCCTTCAACACAAATGGCCCCTTTATCACAAATGATCTAGTGACCCACCTGACAGGGAGACGCCGACCAGCCGACTCCTCTCCGACTTTGGGGACCATCGGGCAAACAGGGCCTGGGCGGCAGGGTAGAGGGCACTCTGGGGACACATAAAGTACAGTGGGGGGGCAGGTGATGCAACAGTACTGTGACACAGAAAGTACAGTGGGCAGGGGGGGGGGCAGGTGATGCAACAGTACTGTGACACAGAAAGTACAGTGGGGGAGAGGGCGGGCAGGTGATGCAACAGTACTGTGACACAGAAAGTACAGTGGGGGAGGGGTCAGGTGATGCAACAGTACTGTGACACAGAAAGTACAGTGGGGGAGAGGGGTGGGGGCAGGTGATGCAACAGTACTGTGACACAGAAAGTACAGTGGGGGGAGGGGGGCAGGGGATGCAACAGTACTGTGCCACAGAAAGTACAGTGTGGGAGAGGGGTGGGGGCAGGTGATGCAACAGCACTGTGACACAGAAAGTACAGTGGGGGGGGGGGGGCAGGTGATGAAACAGTAAATTGACACAGAAAGTACAGTTGGGGGCAGGTGATGTAACAGTACTGTGACACAGAAGGTACAGTGGGGGAGAGGGGTGGGGGCAGGTGATGCAACAGTACTGTGACACAGAAAGTACAGTGGGTGAGAGGGCGGGCAGGTGATGCAACAGTACTGTAACACAGAAAGAACATTGGGGTTGGGGGGCAGGTGATGCAACAGTACTGTGACACAGAAAGTACAGTGGGGGAGAGGGGTGGGGGCAGGTGATGCAACAGTACTGTCACACAGAAAGTACAGTGGGGGGGGGGGGGGGGAGGGCAGGTGATGAAACAGTACTGTGACACAGAAAGTACAGTGGGGGGTAAGGGATGCAACACTACTGTGACACAGAAGGTACAGTGGGTGAGAGGGGTGGGGGCAGGTGATGCAACAGTACTGTGACACAGAAAGTACAGTGGGGGAGAGGGCGGGCAGGTGATGCAGCAGTACTGTGACACAGAAAATAAAGTGGGTGAGGGGGCAGGCAGGTGATGCAACAGTACTGTGACACAGAAAGTACATTGGGGTGGGGGGAGGCAGGTGATGCAACGGTACTCATAAAAGTATGACCTACACACTCACAGAGAAATGACAAGCAATCTCACATAAGTGCTGCACGTAATTTACCTAAGTATGACATACAAACTTACACATTGTGAATTACAAGCTCACCTAGGTATAACTGGCATTTTCATCGAGGTATGACTCAGACAAACTCACCTAGGTATGACAGACAAACTCATCCAGGTATAACTCAGAGGAACTCACCAGGCATGACAGACAAACTCACACAGGTATCACTTAGACAAACTCACTTAGGAATGACAGAAAAACTCACCTAGGTATAACAGACACAATCATCCAGGTATGACAGACACACTCAACCAGGTATGACAGACACACTTAGCCTGGTATGACAGACAAACTCAGTCAGGTATGACACACAAACTTATCCAGGTATGCCAGACAAACTCAGCCAGGTATGCAATACAAACTTATCCAGATATGCCAGACAAACTTATCCAGGTATGACAGACAAACTTATCCAGGTATGCCAGACAAACTCAGCCAGGTATGACAGACAAACTTATCCAGGTAGGACAGACAAGCTCACCCAGGTATGACAGGCAAACTTTTCCAGGTATGCCAGACAAACCTACCTCGCCGACCCCGATGAGGACCCTGACAACCAGGAACAGCCAGGGATTGAGTCTGGCAGACACTGGAGACACCAGACCCAGGACAGCCGCTGGCAGCATGGTATAAAAGACAACACGTCTGGGTCCATAGCGCTCGCTCAGCATCCCTCCCGGCACCTGGCAAATATATTTAGAGTTGAAAACTACTAATGCAACATAAAAAGTGACTTGAAAACTCAAAGAACAGAATGGCAACGACACGCATAAATACAGCCCGAAAGTGTCGACCAGAGCCTTTATCAACAGAGTATTAAATACAACAAAAACTGTAACCAGAAGACTCAGCTGATAAGAGAACAGAGCATCTTCACAAATAATGTCAACATTAAAACAAGAAATACATAATGGAACAATTTAGACGGTTGGGGGGGGGGGGGGGGGGGTGACATAAAAGGGTTTTATTGCAAAACAAAATAAGTAGGAAGGCGCTTAAAGCAATAGTGAAGGGAAGACATATAAACAAATTAAATAAACAAATAAAATGTAATAACATTAAATAAAGTTAAATAAAGAGTTGATATTGATTCCCCACAGTACTGAGAACGTCAGAATTGTGAACGAAACGAGTTGCGTCTGACCTGATCACCGGAGCAAGAATGTATAGCAGTAATTGATATATAACTGTCGTTAAATTAGCTTGTGCCGGCTGCCGAAATGTCATTGTTCCAGACTGTGGTCTCTCCTCTCTCTCTCTCTCTCTCTCTCTCTCTCTCTCTCTCTCTCTTTCTCTCTCTCTCTCTCTCTCTCTTCTCTCTCTCTCTCTCTCTCTCTCTCTCTCTCTCTCTTTTTCCCGGCCTTGTTAAGCTTCTGTGTCACTGTTTTGTAGATTAATTTCGAACTGTACCCTGTTTGAGTCGGACTGTTTCCACGGAAATACACACTGTCTGCAAATAAAGTCACACAAAGCACGAACACAGTAGCTGCAGCGATGATCCCCATGGATACTGGTAAAAACTGCACTCTGGAACAAAACACCGCATTCTTGAAACGAACCCACGAGCTTCAGATGACGAGGCAAACAGCATGCCTACTTCGCCATGGAGACTCTTTAAAAGAAGTACAAATATGTGGATCTAAGACCTTGGTCCGGCTGGGGGATTGTGACCAAAGTTTCATGACCCTGACATTCCATGGTTTGAAGCCAGCTGCAGCAGTTTAGTAATATACTGCTTCGAGTTGCATGTGTATGCGTTTTACCATTCACAAAGTAATAGCCACACAAAAAAATTAGTTGCATTTCATTTACAGAATGTACAAAAAACAGACAGTATATTGATCAATACATTGTCCGTTTGTTTATTTTAAATACATAACGTCTCTACGCCCCCAAGGATCTGCCTCTGTTTATTTGCGTGTATTTATTTTACAGGGAGTGGTCGCGGTGTAGCGGCTAGAAGCTCGCCTGCGGACAGGATAGTCGTGGTGTAGCTCGCCTGCGGACAGGATGGTCGTGGTGTAGCGGCTAGTAGCTCGCCTGCGGACAGGATGGTCGTGGTGTAGCGGCTAGTAGCTCGCCTGCGGACAGGATGGTCGTGGTGTAGCGGCTAGTAGCTCGCCTGCGGACAGGATGGTCGTGGTGTAGCTCGCCTGCGGACAGGATGGTCGTGGTGTAGCTCGCCTGCGGACAGGATGGTCGTGGTGTAGCTCGCCTGCGGACAGGATGGTCGTGGTGTAGCGGCTAGAAGCTCGCCTGCGGACAGGATAGTCGTGGTGTAGCGGCTAGAAGCTCGCCTGCGGACAGGATAGTCGTGGTGTAGCTCGCCTGCGGACAGGATAGTCGTGGTGTAGCGGCTAGAAGCTCGCCTGCGGACAGAAAGGTCGTGGTGTAGCGGCTAGAAGCTCGCCTGCGGACAGGATGGTCGTGGGTTCAGATGCTGATGGTAGCGGACTTTTTTCCATTCAAAAACGACCTTTGCTCCCAGGTCGACCCAGCCTTGAAGGGGTACCAGGTGGAGTCCTGGGAAGTAAAGACGGCCCGTGTGATGTTGACCATATAGCCCATTAAGTGTGGACTGGTTTAGGGAATATACGTGTGGAAAGGGGTCCTTAATTTCACCTCTTCTTTTTTTTGGGGGGGGGGGGGCGGGGGTATCATTTACAGCCCTATTTTCATTCTTTGGTCTGTGGAAATGTCAACATAACAGTTTCCGTCCTCCAATCCTGCAGTATGCAGGACTAACACCCCAAGGATGGGAATCCAACCATGTATAAAGTCCAGTAAGCCCTTTATTCTATGAAAGCCCTAGTGCAACTACTCAGGAGCTCAGTCTCTGTACGATCCATGTAAGTATAAAGACATTGAAGAGCGAATCAACCCAGCACGAACTTATGTAGGTAGGACAAAGATCTCACCTGTAACACTAGGTACCCCCAGAAGAAAGAGCCTAGAAGTAGACCTTGGAGTTCCTTGTTCCATGTGAACTCTCCTGTCTGAAAACACACGTACAGTCAAAACAAGCGACATCAGTGGAAAATAAACTCGGCAATCAAATTGTATATACAAACTTTTTTTCTTTTCATTCTTTGTTTACTATTACCATTTCTTCGTCTTCGCAGTCTTCTTTTTCTTCTTTTCTTCTTCTTCTTCCTTTCTACCCTCTTCTTCTGCTTCTTTTTTTCTGCTCTCTGTCTTTTCTCTTTCTCGTCCCTCTCACTCATTCTCACTGCGTCTCTCTTTCTGTTCCCCCCCCCCCCGCATCTGAACAACTACTCTGTTTTGCTTGTTACGGCGTGACTAATTAATCTTTTTTCATTAAGACATTTCAGTTTCTGAAACCACATGGTCACAGAAATAGAGACACATACAGGAAGGAAAGAGGTGTCTACTGCTTCTTCTTATTCTTCTTCTTCTTCTTCTCTCAGATGTGAGAAGCGGAGAGAGGCAGGGGGAGACGGAGAAACGATGCTGGATAGTCTGATATAAAACATGTAGAAACACCCCCAGACATGGTTGAAAGCGTACTAGACAGAATGCAGAGGGCAGACAAAACTATTACCGGCAGATGGCATGGGCTATAAGCAGAAGATAAAGTTACTTCAATGGCAGACAGTCGTTGCTTACAAACAAATTCCCTTCTAGGATGCTTACTTAAAAATTCACAACTCAGTGGCTGGGCGACAGAACCTTCAGACTCACAGTCCAGAAATGGGGAATTTGTCTTAGCAAAACCTAGCGGAACACACATAGCGTCGGCGATCAGGCTGCTATGGGACCATTTTGGTAGTTTAGTTTGCTAGTTAAATAAATGACGCGAAGACAGACTTTCAGGGTGAGAATCCAGCTGAAGGAAACCCCAGAAAAAAAAATGGTTTTAGTCGTACAACACAGTTAAGTCGGGACCCTAAACGCTTGTGAAGTAACTTGCAGTCTTCTTCTCCTTTGTGTTCACCGGCTGTAAGCTCCAGTTCTGGTTGTTCGTCCACTTCTGGACTCTAGTCTTGTACCAGAACTTCAGCGTTGCGTGCACATCCGTTTTACAGATATGGCTTATTTGTATGCAGACTGTATGGTTCTGGCCTCTCAGACAGATGCACCCGACCATAAAGGACACCACTAATTAGTTGTTTTTTACAACATGATTGTGGGGAGGGAAAAGGGGGGGGGGGCAGAAAGTATATTCTTTTTGTACCCAATATTGGGGCCCCATACGAGAATATATCCAGTCTAGAGTGGGAAGATTCAATTGACCCCGAGTCTAAATTACTTACTTGTTCAGACTCCACTTTGAGATCTAGGGATTCGCAGTAGCCATCGTCTCCGGTCATCAGTGAGCTGGCGGTTGTTGCCACGGACATGTCTACGTCATGGGAAGATGTCAGCTGTGTGGAGTTGCTGCTGACGTTGTACGCGAAGCTAAAGAAATATAATTAAGGGGGAAATTCAACATACATGTTCGAATTATTTATTAAATCAACAAGATCATCATTGAATAAAACCTCAGAGAAATTTATTGTTAGACGCAAAGGGTCGTTTTATAATTGCTCCATTGCTGTACCAGTGGAAATCTCACAACATGTTCTTCGGTGTCCCATTTGGAAACTAGTGAAACACTTATCAGTTTAATCAAAATATTGAAAATTGTACATGCAAAGTAAATAGGCATAAGGCAGCTGTCGAATGTGCCAACACTAACGGCCCCACACGAGCTCGCTGTTGGCGCAAAAGGTGAATCCCGTAATGCCGGCATTGTACCCACATAGCTACGCTACATTCTGAACGTAATGTTCACCCGCCATTTTAGTGTAGTCAACAACAAGTAGCTATGTAGCTGAGCGTTGGAACCTTTCCACTCACGGTCCAGAAACGGGGAATTGTCATGGGCTAAACCTAGCTGGAAACAAATAACTTTTCGAAATGTTAGTGGTCAGTCGGCTATTGGCAATTTTGCCAGACCAGTTTTCTGGCTTAATAAATCTGTGTGTGTGTGTGAGTGTGTGTGTGGGCTTGTATGTGTGATTATGAGTGTGTGTGTGCATGCGTGCGTGTGTGCGTGCGTGTGTGTTAGCCTGCGAAAATTTCCACGTAATCCTGTAGCAGCTACATTTAGGCCCTGCATCGCTGCAGAGCTACTGGGGTGCTGCACACACAAATGTGCCGCCTGAATTACAGGTAGTCAGGTACTTTGCTAGGCTCAGCGGTATAAGACTTCGTCACCGGTTTGGACAGTAATTAGGTCTGAGGTCTGTCTCCTCTGATCGTATCAACATTGCACAAGTTCTTTTCATGGCTACTTGGTGGCATGCAATGCTAAGCCATTTTATATGGCGCATTTAACCTGGTCACAATTATAACCTAAAGCTCCCCCTTCGAGGGACAGACACTGATTCCAAACCAACAGTCTGCATGAACACAGTTAACTGAGTAACCGGAACTTTACAAAATATCGGATGGCCCACGTTTCATAAACTTTTCCCTCGCAGGTGTTCATTGACATGATAAGTCTCCTGTGAGTTATACAAACACTTTTTTCATTGTATGCAGGATAGGCTATCAAAATAATCACCAGGCATGTCAACTGATTTTAGAAAAATCTACATGCGCTGTCGATCACTGTACATTTTATTTGTAGGGCTACTCAAATTATTAGTCAAACAGAGATCAAAGAAATTCTCCGCTTTAAGAAAACAGCAGCAACTGTGCAACCGTGAGGTATATAATCATAAGCACACGGGGAATCAAAGTCCACGTGACGGAAATTCGTGTTGATCCGTACAAGAGTTTCAAGATATTTGGTAAAGTGTGAGAGCTCGGCGGGCTACACACAAGCTGCAGTCTAGATTCATCATCATCATCCTCTGGTATCAAAATACGTCGCTTACAGCTGGCAGTGTAGTACCTTAGGGTTGTCAGTCGTCTCCCATTTTGCGGAAGCTCAGATTTACTGGTGAAATGGAGATGCTTCAGCAAAAATGGTGGAATTATGGCACCTTATCCATCATCTATGAGTCGTTATGGTGTAGCAACTAGATACTAGCCTACGGATCTGAAAGTCGTGGGCGCATGTCCTGGTGGAATCTGACTTTTGTGGGGGGGGGGGGGGGATGATGAATATGGCTCCTAAGTCGAGCCAGCTTAAATAAGTACAAGGTAGTCTGGAAGGTAAAAGCGGTCGGCGTGATGTTGACCACGTCATCCAGAAGTGCTCTATACACTGTAGGCCTAGCCCTATTTGCCCAGCTTTTCCACCGTCACCACGTACTCCAGTTTTCACCTTCTCATGAAAAGACCAAAGAATGAATACTGTCTCCTTCTGATGTGGGCAGTCCGTGTTCCTCATTAAATCACATTAAGGGAACCGGCCTGTACCCTTTCCAGTACCAGGGCCCCTTGAGAAAACTAGATTCAGAACCGCTGCAATATGGAACACACGAGCTGGTCCGCGGAATATTTGCAATTCAGCCGGGGAATCGAACAAAAGTCTGGAAAATATGTTCGTTTGTGGAAACTTGTTCATACACCAGGCTTACTGGGTATGAAACCAAGCACGTAGCTTTGCAAATGCTCCAATATTTGATTTCATATACACATTTAGGTAACTTTTGCTGGTTTTACAACCCCATGCAGAGACCAACTATATTCGTTTTATAGTTTCATGAACACTTTTCTCTTGATTGTTTTCCCTACAACTTTCTAGATTATGTAATAATTTTTTCGGGATATTTTTGGTTTGGTAAGTAAGGGAAATTCCAACTTGTTTGGTTATGTGATGAGAAGGAGAAAACTGAAATACATCGTGATAGAAAGGTGGAAGGGATGAAACGCGGAGGGAGACGGAGAGAACAGATGTTCGACAGTCTGACATCATGACATGGAAGGTCATCTGTGTCAGAGTTGACTGAAGGTACACGAGACAGACGGTTATGGATAGTCATGGCTACCAACACCACACGGCATTGACTATTGAAGATCATCCGTGTCAGAGTTGATTGAAGTTCACGAGACAGAAGGTTGTGGATAAACATGGCTACCAGTGCCACACGGCATTGACTATGGAAGATCATCTGTGTCAAAGTTGATTGAAGTTCACGAGACAGAAGGTTGTGGATAAACATGGCTACCAGTGCCACACGGCATTGACTATGGAAGATCATCTGTGTCAGAGTTGATTGAAGTTCACGAGACAGAAGGTTGTGGATAGACATGACTACCAAAGCCACACGGCATGGACTTTAAGAAGAAGAAGTAAGGTAAGGTATCCTTGTCAATACAGTGGTCCATCGGACATTTGATCGATGGGTCGATCAATTGTTCTCCTCCGGACTCCTACTGAAGGTTTATTATACCATCCTGAAACTAACAATATCTGAGCATTGGTCATCATCGTCATGTGCCCTGCCAACCGGCTTCTCCACAGATCATGATCCCTGTTTGACTGGAACTGTTCTCTAAATGATATCCCTTCATGCCATCGTTTTAGAACATCCAGCATCATCTCTCTTGGTCTATCTCTACCACTTTTTTCACTGATCTTTCCAGTTGTCACTATGTTTTACAATGCCTCTCTTCTCATCAAGTGGCCAAAGTACAATGTTTGTCTCTGTCTAATTGTTGTTTATAGAGATCTACCTTAATCAGCTTTTTTCAAGCAATCGTTGTTAGTTACTATGGCCGTCCAAGGTATTCGTAAGATTAGTCCCAGAAACCACGTCTCCGAGTGTTGGTGAAAAACCAAAAAGATAGATCCCAAACAGCCTGTCCGCCTTAAATGTTACCGTGTGGGTTCCAGGGTCCCATTGTAGGGGTTGGGGTTGAACAATATTAGACCCGCTGACTGCAAAAAAGCATGTCGTAAGAGTCAACTAACTGGGAGCTTTCTTCGAAGTCGGAATACATCTGATTGACAAGCATGGAAGCAACATTCTGTATACACATGTCACATCTTCAAAACGGATGTGCAAGCAACTTCCTGCCCGAGTTTACAGCTACGACC